GGTTTTTAGTACCTTCTGTGTTTTCTTTCAAATTTAGAAATATTATATATTGGGAATTTGTAAGTTACCTGCAACAACCAAAGCAAACCAAAGCCATCTATGCAGACCCAGCTTCTGAAACCACGGAAGGAACAAATCAATATTTTTTTGGGAATCTAATGAAAAAGTGATTAAGGTATCAGGAACACAGATCCTTCAACCTGGCTTTGCAGAGAAAGGATTCTTTTTGCAACGCAGTAAAAATCTGAGACTTTGCAGTTTTGGATTTGGGTATACTTCCTACATTCTGAAAGAAAAATTTATAATGCAAAGGATGTGGTTAACATACCACGGTTAATTTTATGTGTCAACTTGGCTAGGCAATGGTACCCAGTTATTTGGTCAAACATTGCAGATGTTTCTCTGAAGGTATTTTTTAGATGAGATTAACATTTAAATCGGCAGACTTTGAGTAAAGCAGATTACCCTCCATCATATGGGTGGGCTTCATCCAATCACTTAAAGATCTTAATAGGAAAGGACTGACCTCCCCAGGAGAAATTCTGCCAGCAGACTGCCTTTGGACTCGAACTGCAACTCATCCCCAGGTCTCCAGCCTACGTGCCAACCCTATACATTTTAGACTTGCCAGCCTCCATAATCACATGAGCCAATTCCTTAAAATACATCTATATAGAGAGAGGTATATGTATACACACACACACACTATTGGTTTTGTTTCTCTGGAGAACCCCAATACACACACACTGGTAAATATTACCATTGTTCACTAATATGTCTGGTTTTCTTTTATTTCTCGATCCATGAAAGGATTACACTTTCCTGGAAACTTAAAGTAAACCATGTAACTTGCTTTCATTAACGAAATGGAGTGAAAATGACTGGTGTCACTCCTAAGCAAAAGCATTTAAGAGCCAGGACACGATTCTTTATGCCTTTCCCCTGCAGCACCAAGCCTTAAGTCACACAGAGATGGCAGAAACATAAAGTGCTGCCTCCCTCAGCCTGGGTCCCCAGGTGACCACAAGGAACAGAGTCCCACCTAGTTGCCCTTGTGGATGGAGAGCATGAGAATCATTTGCTGTTCCAAACCACTGAGATGTGGACATTGTTTATGACTGAAACACCACTTGGGAAAAAAAAAGTTGTCCTGTATCCTAGCAACATCCACTCAACATCCACTCAACATGCTCATTACAGATTTTTAATTTTTTCTTCATTATTGCAAATTCAGTAGGACTTCTATTTGATATAAACACTGAACAGTGATTTGGAAGACTGCATGCACATGATAGCAGCAAAACAGTTTCTCTGAAACTATTTTATGTCAACTTTTCACAAACTAGCTTTTCCTTTAACCCAAATTATCAGTACCATATTTTGCCAAACCCACCAGCATCCATGCCATTATAAAACTTGGAATAAATGAAGTCCATACGGATTTGAACATTTTGTAAACAAGACCTTGAAAACTAGTCTATCCCAACTGCTCCAGCGTTCTATGATTTTATGAAGATCCTAGAACCTGTCCACTTTCTATTCTAACTCCCAAATTACTAGTAAGAAAAGAAAATCTTCCAATAAGACAGATGAAACAAAACAGAAAATCTGGCTTCTGCTCCATCTTTTTTTACTCCAAAAAAGAGTAAAAAGATTGGAGGTTGAACCACATGGGCCTTCGGGGAAACGGGCTAAATAAATAGATGGAGATAATCAGATTTCAAAATTATCTAGTCCTGAGGTTATGTGGAATTTCAAGATACAAACATATAGTTGAGATTATCAAATCCATCTAAAGTGTTCAGATTTTAAAAAGGAATTCTCAAAATTTTGGCCCAATTAAAGAAAAAGAGCATGAATAGCATCACTTTCTCCCATAAATACCCAAACCTACAAACTCAGTATGGAGAGCAAGAACAGAGTCATATTTACTTTTCTGTCCCCACAAGGCCTAGCATAGTGCCTGCCTACAGTTCTTCAATAAATGCTAAACTGACTTCCACTACCACTTTCTCAAACCCCACTATCTGGCCATCTCCCCCATCTCCTAAATGAGGGAAGCAGGTTAAGAGAGGAGCAGAGCAGACATCAATTAGCGTCACCTCCAGTGTCCTGTCACTTGGCACGTACTGCTCTTGCCTGCCCACTTGTACAGTCTCGCCCCCACTTTGTCTAACTGGACTCCAACTGGCGAGTCAAAGCTGGTCAGTCAACAACGGAGGCACTCATAGTTGCACTGCCATGTACTGGTACAAACGGGCAGCAGCTATCAGAATAAAAGTAGTTGCTAGATATTCAGACCCCAAAGAGGTCAGGACTAACCCTGCAACTCGTAGGTGGAGTCTAGCTCAACAACGTTCCCGGGGCAATCTTAGCAAAGGCAGTCAGAGACATGCTGTTGAGTGCAGGGCCCCCAGAAACAAGATCACGAAAGACAAAACTATAGTTCGTCTTCCTTTCATCAGCAATTTCTTTTTGTGGAGGAAAAAAGAATGGTTAATGCAGTTTGGCTGTGGCGAATAGCCCTGGCCACAGAATGGGTTGGGATTTGCCTCTGAATGGAAGAGCTAGGCACTACTCTTAAGATCGTCTGCTCCCAAGACAAAAGGTCAGAGTCTTCCACAGTAAGGGAACAGACTGGCCCTTCAGCCTGGAATGCTGTACTGAGGTCACTCATGAGTCATTGTGATTTTGACAATTTTTCGCCCCAGAGGTTGTTTTTATTCTTATAAAGTATATTATTATAGCCTCCGGGGTCATAAACCATCCACACCAAGTCAACGCGGCTGAGCTTTCAGACCTTAAGGAAATCCCTTAAACATTTGTTACTATTTGTCACATAATTAAGCACTCCCAGCATGCACCCTACACTGCCCTGAATAAAAAAGCTTAAGATGTAAACCGTCTCTCAATAACATTCCCTTATTGAATGCTAAGATGAGAACATGAGAATCATACCACATGTCTGCCATCTGTATTTGTAGTTGTCAACAGCTCTGTTTTGGGATAAACAGTTTTAAAGTAAGAATCAATTCAACTTGTTGGAAGATCAGCCAAGGAATAGCTCAGAAGACCAAAACAGAACATGAAGTCAGATAGTCTAAAAAAAAAATCAAGCACAATTTTCTCTTTCTCACTAAACATTCTGTTTTGTCACAGCCCAAGAGAAAGAGCATGGCAACCAGGGTTTGCGGGCAGAAAGACGGGAAAAATGTACTCAACTGAAAAATTCTTCAACCTAGAACAAATGTCTTTGCTACAATGCAATTGGAAATCGTTCACTGACCTCTAGGAGACTACAGTTAAGAAAAAAGTAATTTTACCATTTACACTTTGTTTCATGGTTCTAGCATGTAAGACATACACAGGGGACAACTTGAGGTGGTACAAGGGCATAATACAGTCCTTTATTACCATAAAAATGGTAGCATTTCCCAAAGTCGATCTTGATTAAAAATAGTTTCAGGGTTGAAAACACTACTCCAGCGTAGAGCTATTAAAATAGGGAGACGGCAAGGGGAAAATAAAGACATACACTGAAAAGACATCAGGGAAGAAGTTAGCAAAAATAGGCTGCCACAGATTGGTGGGAGATAACAGTGGAATTGCTTTCAGAAGCAGCTGATGTAAGTGAATGAAGAGACACAGTAACCTGGCAGCCCCACATACTCTACAAAACAAATGAGAACATGTACGCTCCACTTGGAGGGGCATCCATTTTCTCCTTAAAAGAAGTCATTTATAAAAGAGCAAATTGGTGATTTGTACCTACAGACTGGACCCTCTTCAAACCCCTGTCAAGAAGTGATAAATTACTGAAGCACAACATAAAGTGTTTTATTTTTGGTGTGCACATGGTAAAACCCTGTGAAACGTTTCTGTTCACCTTTCTGAGTTATTAATTAAAAAATAATTGTTTCCAAGTACTCTGTGATCTTTAAAATAAAACAAGACAAAATGCCACATCTACCTCTTCAGATCAGCACCACCCCTTTCCTCCCTCCTTCCCTATCCTGCATCCACATCCTTCAAGCAGGCAATTGTTTAAAATCACACCCCCAGCTCCTGGGAAACAGGAACGCTGCTCAGACCGGGGAGGGAGGGAGAGGAAGGCCAATACGACGTTCACACAATCGTCTGGTGTTCATTCAACCACAGGGCCAGGTACTATCTGTTGTTCCTAGAGACGGCGTAAACTGTTCAGAGAATAAAGCAGGGTTGTGGAAATCTCATTAATAAACTGTGAAAACCCTCTCAGCAGAAGTCACATAAGGCAGAGGGGCAGCCTTGTGCCAAGCAACATGAATGCTTGGTGCTCTGCTCCCGGACAATGTTACGTTCAAACACAGCCCGGGTTTGAGAGAGGCTTCCCAGAAGTCCCCCCCCTAAGGAAGAGTGAGAACTTCCTCCCTGATCACAGTTTAGCAACTGGAACCTGCATAAGTTTACAAACTCTAGGCTTTGCTTTAATCTAAATAAATGACGGCCAGACAGATGTACAGGAATGGCTCCTCCCCTACTATGTTCATAAAATGAGAGCATGACACTGATGCCAATGCTCCTGAAAGGGAGAAAGAAACTAACTAACAGCCTAAGTGCACAGGAGGAGACACAAGATGACTGCAGACAGACGGGGCATAAATGGAACATTTTCACCTTGGTCACATACTGGTAACTTTTAGAATTTCTCCAACTCAACTCGGATTCCCACTCCTTTTGTGGAAATGCCACTGTTAGATCCCCAATTTTATTTTCTATCTAAGTGACTGAACTTCTGACCTCATGGACCTTTATTAGCCTCAGAATGAAACCAGATGCCTTTGTAGAACATTTCCACTCAAGTATTTTGTATGGCAAATAGAAGAGGATGGGATAAATAAGGATGTCTCTAAAATGTTTTAATTATCACCACACACATCATTTTAGTCAGCCGAATAGGGAAAGCAATCAAATCAAATGACACTGCTTGAAACTTAAGTTAAAAATCGTATAAAGAGAAATAGATTTTTTCCTTTTTTTATTCTTTTTGCGTTCTGCACACTGACATACAGGGAAAAGAAAATGACTAAAACTTAAATATGAAAGAACTCTTTATAATTAAATCCACAATTTTATACATATACCTTATCCACATGTCAATGAAAAAATCACCAACTATTATGAAATAGGACAAATTATATCATGAAAGAACCAAAAATTTCATTAAAAATATATCCAAGTATGAATGAAAAGTATTCTACTTGGCGTCTTCACATCCTCCTCTTCTGCGTACTTATGTACAACACTGAAAAGAAGAAATAAATAAATTGAAAAAAACTGTTCCTAGGTATCAGAATACTAAGTTTTAAAAGCAAACAGATTTTGGTCTGACACTTCTGCAAATTTAAAACGAGTTTTCATACCACACAACAAATTCTACAACTACTATAAGACTAACTTTATGAATCTAGACCTGGGTTTGATGTCTTACAGGACTGTGTTCTAGTCTTAGCTACACATCTGACTGACTGCAAATTGTGACCAGGAAGATAAAATAAAATGATGTGAGAGTCCCTGGACTCTAAGAATGTTTTGTAATTATAGGTATAATAATTACGCTTGTAATAAAGTAAATCAGTAAATCTACCAGACTAGACTTCAGATTAATAAAGAAAATATTTTTATCCATCTCCCCAACATAAACTCTAAACTTGCTGTTTACTTTTTTAAATGGAAAAACAAGACCTGGAAGTTTATTTTTTTTTTTAAAGATACCAAAGTCTTTATTTGGAGTCCTCTGTTAAAAGTATCAACCTTTGGTGTTATCCAAAGTTTTGATTAGTTAGTCCTCTCGTGACCACCTCAACTGAACTCTTTAGGATATGGGGGAGATAAGAATAAGACAAAATACGATGCCTCACTCACTCCGGTCAAGCTTTCCCTCGAGGTGCACCTCCCCTCCAACGCCCCACACCTACTCAGATTCTGACAGCTTTGTTCAAAGTGAACATTAAAGATTTCTTGATTAAAGGACGCAGCACAGATTAATCAAATAAGTCAGCATCCTGTTTAAGAGCCAAGGATATGAAATTGGGAATCTACAGATATTTACCACTGATTACCTCACAGAAAAAGTTATATGAAGGGAAGCATAAGAATGACAGTAAAAATGCCTCTGGGAAGCTGGGCAAGTCCCAGATGTAGTATGCATGTAACAGAATCTACCTTACCACCTCTCACAGAACCTGCAGGTGACTGCCGCTACCAATTGTCCTGAGATGGGGAAAAACCATAGCATTTCTCAGTAAACGGAGGGAGTCAAATAAAAACAATATGAAAAATAGAAGAAATTCTTCATGTTGGAAGGACTAAAAAGCAAGCAAAAGATGTATATAAAGATATGATGTGAAGAAACACGGTACTGGAAGAACAGCAGACAGAACACCTATAACAAAGTCAGGACATTTAGTTCACAGCAAAGAGAGCCAACTGTTAAGGGGGTTGAAGAAGTTATCCAGAACTAAAGAATGCACATTAATTAAAAATCCAAATACAAGAGCCCCAAGGCTCCATTTAGGGGATGGGACCAAGAAGTGAGGATGGGTCAAAGAATAATTCAACAGTTTTGATGTCTTACCATCCCCACAAAAAAATTCAAATATGACTTTATTGCTACTGTGTTTTTAAACAAAGTACTTGAAAGTAACCATAACAACTACAGCAATATATTAGCTGTTAAAAAGCTGAGTCGCTTTAGATCCATATTTCCTATTTTGTCATTTTTGCCAAACTAAAGGATATAAATCTCCACAGAAAGCATTTGAATGCTTAATAGAGAAATAGGACAAGCTAACTGCCAAATGATGCAAACCAAAGATAGCAGGGAAATAGTGGCCATTCTTACAGCTCCAGCTTGCCATGTAAGAGGCAGTGTTGGGGGAACATAATAAACCGTATTCAAGGGAACGGAGTTCTGGGTCATACAGCAATGGCTATCAGTTCCTCATCAGTAAAGGGAGGGAAGGAGAGAATTTCTAGTTCCAAAATTCCACGAAGCATTTAAAAAAGAACTGGTCACGCTGAAGAGCTGAGAAACAAGAATTTAAAAATAAAGCAAAACTAAAACTGAACTTCTAAACTACCTAGAAAACCTGCTGGTGACCCTGATTATAAACAAAAGGGCTTATTTTGGATGTTGTACAACCGTAGAGTGAGGGACTATTACCATTGTTTCCTCGGATAAACGCATCCCCATATTTATTCTTCAGTTGTCCATTTACATATTCTTCTGTCTGCTCCAAGGCTATATTCATGTAGCCATCCAGGCAAGCCAGGACCCCTGGAGACAGATTTTTCAAAGAGAAGAGATACAAAGCAAAGATCTGAAAATTACAGGGTATACCTTAGAGCTGACAATCTCTTTATTCATTAGCTCTTACGTGCTTAATATAAAAATTCACACTTTAGATGAAACAATAGACTGAGGCACAAAAAAAGTCTTTACTCTATGCCCATCTGAATGAAGGCTAAGAAGCGTACAGTACGAAAGCAGTCGTGCACCCACTGCCAGAAGGAGAAACAACTGTCACTTCCCTCATGGTATGTGTGATAACAACAGCAACTTTTAAAGCCTTCACAAAAGTGACATAGTAAGAATATTCCACATAAAATGCCATTCTTTGAAAGTTAAAAACAGGAGGGGGCAATTACGTAGAAACAAATGACCATTAGCCAAGACGCCTCACTTCCAGTGGCATTTCTTACTTTAGCCACTAACTGAAATACGGATCTGGCAGATTTACTTCATTCTTTCACAACATCTACTGCAGCAGATGAATGGACTCCAGGGTTAACAGGAAGGCTCCACAATCTGTTAAGATAATAGAAGAGGAGACAGCAGGTGCTCCTGAAAGCACATCTTAAAGCTGTGACTCACAGTGAAGAGCAGCTTGAGAATACAGGGCAACATACTGGATTATAACACATCCCTTTCTGTTTTGTTACAGTTATAATATTTTCAACTCCAGACTAATATAGAAAAAGGGCCAAAAACATTCTAGGGAGCTTTCAAGGAAACTGTTCAAGTGAATCTTTTTAATTGTGTTAAGATGGTATAAATTTTGTAAAACTTGACCTGATGATTTTTCCCCAAAAGATGAAAATATATAAGCCTCTAACTCTGAGTGTCTAAGTTAAAGTGGTATTTTCTGGAAAAAAAAAATGCAAGAGAAAACAAATACTACTAATTTGATTCAATTAACCAAGTCGATAGTTTGATTTAGTCTCAACTTCATTAACATGCTCCTCACTCTCTGCTTCTGCCCCCATTATCCTCTAAACAAAAAAGTTTCTTTTCAAAATTGTGTGTGTGTGATGAGAGCACAAGGCATTCATCTAAGAGAATTCTGCTAGAAGCAGTAAACTTTCAAAGAATCAGAAGGATTGGGAACAATTAATAACAATTATTTCCTATCAAAAGAAAGCTTGAGATACAACTTTATAGTTTATTTCCTGCTGTATTATTTTTCATCTAAACCACAAGCATAAACGAACAGAAACTTCTGAGACACGATATGCAAATCTGTTTGAAAATTAATCAAAAGCATTTAAAAATGAGACATTCACTTCTAATAAGAATATCTATTCCCAGAGCAAAGATTTTTAAGAAAAAGGTTCCAGGAGGCTGGAATTGTAACCTCCTCCCTTCTCTATGGGATAAACGTCTATGAATAACAGAAAACAACAAGTTTTCTTCAAACTTAAATAGAAATTGCTACAGAGAGCAAGGTTCTTTATTATTTAACCATAAATAAGAGCATTCTTTACAGTAATGCTCTCAGAAGTGTACATTTCCCTTCACTAGTATAGAGGCCGTGAATAGACATTCATAAAAGGAGAAAAACTATGGCTAGTACCCATGTGAAAAGTTGTTCAACCTCAGTAGTAAGCCAAGAAATATAAATAACATGAGATATTACTTGTTGCCAATGAGAATGGAAAAGCCGAAAACAAAGGCTAATACAAGGGTTGTGAGAACCTAGAGATGAACCCATCTGCCCCGAGGGAGGGCCATTTGGCATGCTGCTTGACTCAGAAATCCTAGCCCAGGGAATCTACACTAAAGAGAGACTTGGACAAGTGCTCAAGATACATGTCAACAGAGCAGAAGTGTTTAAAATAGCAAAATAATTGGTAAAACCTAAATGTCCATTAATGGAAACTGGTTAAAAACAAAAACAAAACTGTGGTACATCCATACAACGTACTCCTATGCGGCCACTAAGCACTATGTTGTCAGAAAACTGAATGTATTTTTAATGTAAAAAAAAAATCAGGGTGCATGTACAGCTGATCCCATTTACATGAAATTATGTTTATATGGAGACAGGTCCAAAGTGGTAAGGCTGATTATCTGTGGATGGTAGAATTTTGTGAGAGTTTTGATTTCTTCTAAATACTTTTCTCCATTATTTGCTTTGAAATTTCTAAAAAAAAAAGAAAAACACACATATTACCTTTATAAATAGAAAAATTTTCTCTAAAGAGTATAGAGAAAAAAGGTCAGGCTGGTTGATCTCCCCAATGACGCGGGTACTAAGAAGACCCTGAACACGATGTCCACACTCTAATCGATTGCTAAATATACTCAAATCTCTGGAAGTCTGTTACCTCCTTTGGGCTCATCAAAAGTGCAGGGGTGAGAAGCAGTACTTACAGACTTTACAATATCTCAGTATTCAGTATAAATAAATTAGTTCCACTACAAAAATGGAATTAAACTGGAGATGTTATTAATGTCAAGAAACTAAAACAGTACATAAACAGCCAAGTGATTTCATAACAAGGCTTCTGAGTCAAGTTAGAGTCCTAGCTCCTCCCTTATGAGGTGAGGATAATCAACAGAGATCTCAAAGGACTGATTTGAGGATAAAACAAAAATTAAAGTGATTAACACACACGGGACACACAGGAAGCTCCCAATAAAATTAAGCTGCGTGTGGGGCTGGCCCCGTGGCCGAGTGGTTAAGTTCGCGCGCTCCGCTGCAGGCGGCCCAGTGTTTCGTCGGTTCGAATCCTGGGCGCGGACATGGCACTGCTCGTCAGACCATGCTGAGGCAGCGTCCCACATGCCACAACTAGAGGAACCCACAACGAAGAATGCACAACTATGTACCGGGGGGCTTTGGGGAGAAAAAGGAAAAAATTAAAAATCTTAAAAAAAAAAAAAATTAAGCTGCGTGTATGGAAAGAGGGAAAAGCTCAAGAGATTACTATCATTCAGAAAAGAGACCAAGAAAAGGCTTTAAAACTCTGCTAATGAATTACTTATCTGCACCTATGTAACACTCCCAGTAATTTAACATATCTTAATTTTAAAAGATTAATAATTTAGTAACTTTAAAAAATGGAATTTGATGCCATTCCTCCCACAAAGTTAATTTCAGCAGTGTCACAGCCTCTTAAAAAGAGCATTCTCTACAAGACCAGAAAGGTGGCTTCAGCTACGTCACATAGTATATAAGTGGAAGCTCATGTTGTAAGATGATACTATCTCAACAGCTGCTTGCCAATCGTAAATACTTCTGCAAAAACAAATGCTGCTGTGCCAAGGTGTTCTTCAGTATCCAGCTATTCACACCTGAGGTGACTGGGAATCCCTTGCTGTGACCAGGGAACTTAGGTGCACATCATCTCAAAGCAGAGACAGGAGTCACAAATCACACCGGAAGTCAGAAGCACACACTGGGCTCTCAGGGCTATCGCTCTAAAAGGAACCATCTCAGAGGCAGAAAAAGAAAAGGGCATAAAAACTGCTGACAACCAATGCTTTTTTGGTCTACTGGGTACATTTCAGTGGTTAATAAAAATCAGTGTCACATTTACTTATTTAGTTAACACCAGTGAAGATAAAGCATGAAAATATTACCTCGATAATCTACTCCAGAATTTAATTTTACCACGACTGGTCGTCCGATGATTTGCTTTAAGAAGTCACTGGGGGTTTGCTTCCGCAGACTCATTTTAACAATCCTGATCAGAAATCTGAAAGGGAGCAATAAAGGAAAAGACAAAAGTTAATTATTCAACAAAACAGCCTGGAAGCCCCGAACATATTCATAGGAAATCAAGTATCAAAGGCCCACGTACGAAGCCTCAGCATTACTCTACCTCCACTCCTACTACAACATGACAGCTAACGTTTCCAGTACTTACTGTGAGCCAGATACCAAGCTAAGTGTTTTACATGCATTATCTCATCCGGTCCTCAGGACAACCCTATGACACAGCCTCAACAGAGAAGAGCCCTGTGTCTACAGAGGCCCTGTTCTCAATCACCTGTCACTACAGTCTCGCACAGTCAGTGTTAGGGTACCCACGACAACCACTACCACCTCCACCATTTACTGAATGTTTATTTTATGCTGACACTCTGCTAACATGCTTATAAACACTATCACATTTAATCTTTTTTGAAAAAGAAGAAGATTAGCCCTGAGCTAACATGTGCTGCCAGCGCTCCTCTTTTTGCCGAGAAGACTGGCCCTAAGCTAACAGCCGTGCCCATCTTCCTCTACTTTATATGTGGAACGCCTACCACAGCATGGCATGCCAAGTGGTGCCATGCCCACACCCGGGATCCGAACTGGCGAACCCCAGGCTGCCAAAGCGGGACGTGCGCACTTAACTGCTGCACCACCAGGCAGCCCCATATATTCTTTAATTCTTTTATACGAGTCTTTTCTCCCTCAAAAGACTGTAAGCCACATGAAAGAGACTAGTACCAAGCTTCTCATTTATTCTCTAGAATATCTACATTGTGCTAAATCTCTTGAAAAGACCATTTTTTAGTTATTTGGAAGGAGGAGTCTACCCATCACTTTAGGAGACCGTATCTTGTACATTCATCTTCATTAGGCTTCCTTGGTACTCCCTGTTACTTAACGACTTGCCCATAAATCCATTTTGTATGAGTAGATTGGTCTCGACACCACAATTTGTCCCATCACTTTGCTCACGTAATTTTAAGTTTTCATCTTTTAAATTGGATAAGGCAGAAAGAACAGTTCTGACCATTTCTGAAGCAAAAGAAAAGCCTCTTGAACCTAAGAGGAAAAAGGCCTCCTTTCTGCAGATCACCTTGATAAAACTGCTCTTCAAAATCAAAGCCAGAATCACCCTCTACGCCTCCCCTCCCTCCCCCGACTCCTACTCGGGCTTGGTTTAAATGACCTATTTTCATACATGGCTGTTGAGTCAAAGGCAGTATATGTTCTGTCTGAAGCTATGACAGGCCTAGTATGAGAATGCCTGCAAACTGCAGAGGTTTTTTTTAACGAACGGGGGGAAAAAAGGAACCAAATTTTACTCACCCAACCATGTGCCAGGCCACATGAGATTCATGAGCAATGCACATAGTGACCCTGTGAGGGGGTGAGCAGAACTAAAGCTGGCCCCAAGCCGTTTCAAAGGTACAGCTGCCCTTTTGACTATGTCAAGTTTATCCTGTTAAACCTGGGTAACAGCCATCGAGACAGTGAGATCTAGCTGGACAGAAGTAGCACTGGGGGGAAAATACCCACAGTGACAAAGTACTATAAACTGGCCTGTGAAGAAGTATAATGGTCAAATGGAAAGAACTATATCTAACGTGATTTTGAGTTATGTCACTGAGCAGAAGACATGCAAATCCTTGTTTCTTGGCAATGTTTACCTGTAAACTTCCACCTACTCTTAGAGTATTTACAGAATAGGATGAAAAAAAATTGAAAAGAAAAAGTTGCAATGAAACATAACATTACAACCCAAGCAGATGCAGCTCCAGGCTGATCTATCAGTGTCTGAGAGGGCATCAGACACTGAGAAGAGCAGCTCTCTACCTCCCTCCCTTCCAAGACGATGGAACACCTGGCCCTCCAACCCACACAGTAGAGGGCTACTTTCCTCCATGCCTCCCAAGGGCCACGTGAGTCAGTACTCCATGCACTCAGAGCACCTCTTTCCACTCTCTGTCAGGGCCCTTACCAGGCTGTTTTGTAGCTGTCCTGTTTGCTGACCAGTCTCCCATAGTGGATTCTCAGCTTCTCAGGGACAGGGAAAATGTCTTACTCATTTGGTGTCCCTGGTACTTAAGCACATTGCCTACGCCTGTGGAAGAGGTATTTAAGGGCAGTGCCAAGGAAAATCCCTGTCTCTTCCCCTCCCCGCCAGACTACGGGTACAGTGACTAGCACAGTATCATCCACGCACCTAAACAGCTATAGCATAGTAATATCTCTATTACTGAGCATCAAATAAAAGAAAGATGGAGAAAACAAAAACGTTTCCGTGTTATCCAAGAACCAGTTGCATCCGAATCAACAGAGATGCTTGTTAAAATGCAGATTCCTGAAGTCTACTCCTAGGTCAGACTCTCTGGGCAAGGGGCACTGTAATCTCTATTTTATAAAGTTCCCCAAGTAATTCCTATAAGCAAGTGGTTCTCCACCAGGGGTGATTTTAAATCCCAGTCTCAGGAACATTTGGAAATGTCTGGAGACATTTTGTACTGTCTTGACTGAGCAGGGTGGTGTTACGATATCTAGTAGGTAGAGGTCAGGGATATTGATTGACATTCTGCAAAGCATAGGACAGCCCTCCACAACAAAGGACTGACTATCTGCCCCAAAATGAGGTTGAGAAACTCTGCTGAGCCCTAAATCAAAAAGCACTGTTCTCTGGTCTTAAGGCAACAAGGAGTTTTAAAAAACCCTTAAGGTACAACAAATGAGAACCAACGACTAAGCTCTAACCAGATGACAGAGCATAAATTAAACCTTATTAGATATTTTATTCCCACAAATAGAGAATCTAAAAACTATCAAAAAATCTTGAAGTGGTTACCATGCTAAATAACAGATTTCTAGTCCTGGCCATGAAAATGCTCACTTTCTCATTTTGCAGTGTTCTAGATCCCTCAGATGCTTAAAATCTGTTACTTGGTACAATTCTAAAAGGACAGAATAATCCAAGTGATATAAACATCTTTTCAAATTCTAATAAGGAGTGTTTCACAGTTTAGTGAGAGACCACCCAGAACAGAGTACTCACTTGAGAGGCAGGAAACCTGACCTCTAAGCCCAGCTTTGCTACTTAATTAGCTGTGTGCCTTGGATAACTCATCATTTCATCTCTCAAGGCCCCAGGTTCCTCATCTGCACAATAAGGGGGTTACGCAGGATGGTCACTCAATGATCATCCTGCTCTAACATTCAGTCGGCCTACACAGTAACTCCAATAATACACACACACACACACACACTAACATAATCCTCTGGAAATTCCTGCACAAAACTCAAACAAGTGAAACTGCCAGACAGTACCATAAAAAAAAAAATCCAAAAAGAGGCTCAACCTTGCTAGTTGAAGCATTAGAAATGTATTACGAGCTACTATGCTTCTGGTGAAACAGGCAAAGTCATACATGAATGATGTAAACTATCAAAACTTTTTAAGAAAACAATTTTGGCAATGTGTATGAAAACCTAAAGAGACCTTATTAGATCACAGCATCTAGTCTAATTTCACTCCTCAGAATCTAGTCCAAGTAAATAAACCGAATTACAGCTTCAAAAAAAAGTTTATGGAAGTATCATCTGGGATACCAAAATGAAGCGAAAGTTCTCAGACACCCTAAATCCCCCAGCCGGGAAATGGCTGAATAATTTACGGGACCTACACAATGATGGAACGGGTAGCCAATCAAAAGAAGACACAAAATTAGAAACGATATTTAGGAATAACTTTTAAATGAAAGTGGAAAAGTAAATATACTGTTAAGTGATAAAATAGGTGCAGTCTTGGCTTAATCAGAAACTACCACATACAAGAGCAAAACACATGGTTGTAGATGAAAGGGTTCCATGAGTATTATTTTCTTCACTAAACTTTTTGTTTTCACTAAGTTTTCAGTTTTTCTCTAACCGTCTTGTGTTAATAAGGGGCGGGGGAGGACACACTAAATCACTATCAAGATTACCTGCATCACCCTAATTCTAGAGACCCTGATACCTGCTAGGAAGGCGCGCGTACACCTACACACAAAAGCCCCGGTGGAAGGACAGAACACCATTCAGTTGTGGGCATCCCCAACCGGACAACTCAGGAAGGCGAGCCAGGCCAGCTCGTAACTCCTGGGGATCAGGCGCAGCCACCCCGATGTAGTGGAGACCGGGCAAGTCCCTGCAGCCCTGGAAAGCGGGAGAAGCCTGGCCCTGTGTCTGAGGTCCGCTGTCCCGCCGGATTCCCGGGCTAAGGTCGGGGTTCCCGGCGGAACTTCGAGGAGCACGCGCGGTCTCGGCAGCCAACTGGGTGGAGCCAAGCCGGCGCTCACCGCGCGTTCGAGGCGCCCTGCGGGGAGAGCTGCTCAGGGCCGGGACCCGTCATCCCGGCGCCGACGACCAGAGCCCTCCGCGCCGCGCCGAGGAACTAGGGGGAGCGCGGCACTTCCCGGGGCCCAGCCGCCGCAGGCTCCGGATTCCGCGCTCCCTCCTGGCGCCCGCAGGGGCGGCCTGTCCGGGCGCGAGGCTGCGGCTCCCCGAGCCCTGCCCGAGGCAGCGGAACACTGCGGCCTCCAACGGCGCGCGCGGCCGTCTGGCTCACCTCGTGGCCGGGATCCGGAACCCCACTGCAGGCGCCCCACAGGCCCGGCCGCAGCCGACTAACGGGGCGGAACCGAAACTGAAACTGAAGCCGCCCACACGGCGGTGCTTTCCCGCCTCAGCCAATCAGTGCTTTCCCAGGTTACGGCAGCCCGCGGGGACCGAAAATGCCCGCCCCGCCTGAGCGCGCAAATCCGAGAATCCTGGTTTGCCTAAAGTCAAAGTTGGTGCTGTGGAGTTAAGTAAAAAAGTGATCGTGCTCTCTCTTTTAACAGAAAGCAAACATCCCTCTTCCACAGAAACAAAAAGCAAAGCAAAACACAAAAACTGGAAGTGATCTTTTAGCCAGGATTTCTTTTAGGCAGAAATGTAAGGAATAGCTTGAAGTCACAGGAAACTGGAATTTACTGCTAAAGTACGTGCCCAGAAATGTCCTTCAATAATTTAATACAAATAAATAAATAAAACAAGCAGCTTCAAATCTTTAAATCCACCTTTGGATTTTGATTAAATATGTGAAGACGAAGTCATTATTAACAAGAGATTGTTTCCATGGCAACGTTAATGGACGCAAAAAGAATTAAAATACGAAAGTAACTGTATTATAATGGCATCAATTGCGTTACATTTCAAACCAGTTCTAATTGGAAATGGTGTGCAGACATTTAAGTGCTGCTATGGGAACTTGGTTTGGAATTTTGTATGCATTCTCAATATTCTTGCTGTTAATGGAAAGGGAGAGGAAAAAAGAGAACTGTTATACCAAACACTTGACTCCTTTTTTCCCCCTACACACATATCCTCATCAGTTTAAAACGGATACAGGAATTCTATTTATGATTTGTAAGGCTATAAACGAAGCAATATCATCTTTAAACAGATCCTTAACCCTGGTAAGTGTTATAGAGTCTAAGACGCAGAATTTTTTTCTAAGACAAAAATGAGTTCCCTCTCTTGTAAGCCTCTCTTAGCTAGAGAAATGAACCTTTGATTGATATGGTGGACAGAGAACTGGGTGTGATTTGTTAGAAAAGAGAGACTTCCTTACATCCTTCTATAAAAGCTAATTTTGGGTAAAGACCAAGTCGTTACAGATTTATTGAAAGAGCTGTATTTGAACATCTTGCAATTTGAAATATAATGTAAATAAAAAATTTTAAGCAAAGTATCATTTAAATAAAATAGCTGCAAAGAACAAACATCATAGACTATAAAGCACTATCCCTAAAAACCTTCTTCACGAAGGATATCAAATTGTACCACATTCCTCACTGATTGTTTCAGCTATTCAAAAGAAGAATTTTTTGATTCATAGTCTCTTTCCCTTTACCACAGAGCCCTGATGGAGCCTTTAAGACCAGTATGATGGGCAGCGGGCCAGGAGGAATTTTAAGGGCATAGTTCACCTACAGAGCAGCTGCAACCTTTTCTTTTGTTTTTTTTGGTTTTTTTGAAAGATTGGCACCTGAGCTAACGTCTGTTTCCTATCTTCTTTTTTTCTTCTTCTTCTTCTCCCCCAAGACCCCCAGTACATAGTTGTATATTCTCATTGTAGGTCCTTCTGGCTCTGCTATGTGGGACGCCACCTCAGCAGGGCGTAATGAGCCGTGCTAGGTCCGTGCCCAGGATCTGAACCGGCAAAACCCTGGGCTGCTGCAGAGCCCAGGAACTTAACCACTCAGCCATGAGGCGGCCCTGGCTGTGATGTTTTCTAAGGTGCATAGATCTGTAAGGGCCCAAGTAGACAAAGGGATTGGCACCATGAATTACTTCATAAGCCCACAAGTTTATGAAAATGTGGTGGTTCCCAGAACCCCCTCGGCAGCTTATCATTGGCTTTTACCAATTCACAAAGCAACTTTCCATGTTTCATGGGGGTTTTTTTAGCATCTTTTATTACACAAAGAAAACATGTGCAAGACTTTTTCTGAATACTAGTCCACTAAGATCTAGTCTTCAAAACTCTAAACACAAGCATTAATTTATTAAGGATCCTTAAAGTCATAAAGGTAATTTGACAAGATTTAGTTTAGCTTACATAGTTTGGTTTAGTTGTTATAGTTGATGAACCTACACTGATACATCATTATCACCCGAAATCCATAGTTTATATTAGGGTTCAGTCTTGATGTTGTACATTCTATGGGTTTTGGCAAACGTGTAATGACGTGTACCCACCATTATATTATCACACAGAGTATTTTCACCACCTTAAAAATCCTCTGTGCTCTGCCTATTCATCCCTCTCTCCCCACGAACCCCTGGCAACCACTAATTTTTTTTACTGTCTCCTTGATTTTGCCTTTTCCAGAATATCACAAAGCTGGAATCATACAGTATGTAGCCTTTTCAGATTGGCTTTTTTTACTTAGTAATGTGCATTTAAGTTTCCTCCATGTCTTTTCAAGGCTTGATAACTCATTTCTTTTTAGTGCTGAATAAAATTCCATTGTCTGGATGTGCCACAGTTTATTTATCCATTCACCTACTGAAGGACAGCTTGATTGCTTCCAAGTTTTGACACTTATGAATAAAGGTGTATAAACGTCTGTGTGCAGGTTTTTATGTGAATATAAGTTTTCATCTCACTTGGGTAAATACCAAGGAGTGCAATTGCTGAATTGCATGATGAGAATGTGTTTAGTTTTACAAGAAACTGTTAAATTCTCTTCGAAAATGGCTGTTCCATTTTGCATTCCCATCAGCAACGTCTCAGAGTTCCTGTTCCTCTGCATCCTCACCAGCATTTGGTGTTTCCAGTGTTTTGCATTTTGGCCATTTTAAGTATGTAGTGGAATCTTATTGCAGTTTTAATTCACAAATCCCAAATGACTTAAGATGTGGAACAGCTTTTCATACGCTTATTCGCCATCTGTATATCTTCTTTGGTGAGGTGTCTTTTCAGATCTTTTGCCCACTTTTAAATAAAATTGTTTTGTTTTGGTGTTTTTGCTGGGAAAGGTTCGCCCTGAGCTAACATCTGTTACCAATCTTCTGCTCCTTTTTTTTCTTTTTTCTTTTTTTCTCCCCAAAGCCCCCAGTATATGGTCATATATTCCAGTTTGTAAGTCCTTCTAGTTCTTCCATGTGAGTCACTGCCACAGCATGGCTACTAACAGACAAGTGGTGTGGTTTCACACCCAGGACCCGAACTCAGGCCACCAAAGTGGAGCATGCCGAACTTTAACCACTAGGCTATCAGGACTGGCTCAGATTTTTCATTTTTTTATTGTTGAGTTTTAAGAGTTCTTTGTATATTTTGGATAATAGTTCTTTATCAGACATATCTTTTGCAAATATTTTCTCCCAGTCCATGACTTGTTTTCTCATTCTCTCGAAAGCATTGTTCTTAAAATAGGCAAATGCTGGTATAATAATACTAAGGTAACTCTTGCCATTTCATTATTTGTTCCAAACTGCTATAGTTCTTTGTGTCTATGCCTTTAAAAAACCATGTCCTTCACTGTTTCATGTTTGTAAGAGAAGATGTCATGTCTGGCTTAATTTATAAAACACCCAATTTTATAAAATTTTTAATAAATTTTATAAATATTTCATACAAACATAATATAAATTATATTAATTAACATTTAAAATTAATTAATATTAAAAAATATAAATTACTATAAATATTTTACAAAACACCACATGTGGACATGTGGGTGATTGTACTATGTTGATGCTGATGATGATAGCTACAAACATGATCAGTTGGACTGATCAACAGTCTCCAAAGCAGATTTTAACCCCTAGATGAGTATTAGGTTTCTAAGAACACTGGCAGGTCTTGGTGCAGAATGCACTAACTGGTATGAAGTGCTGGCATGCCCTTGGACCTTTCCAGAACTTTCAGACTGGACAATAAAAACGCCTAACCTGTCACATACTAGTTTTGGGTATTTGGAGCACTATCATCTACCTTTTCTCATGGGATGTGAAAATTATTTGTTAAAGAAAATGAGAATAAAGACACTATAGCTGTTGAATATCTTCTGGGAAGTAATATAAGCTTATTGACTGATGGGCAGATTTCTCAGAAAAGGCAGTATGCCTTTTATTTTTACCCAAACATGGGATATATTTTACATCATGGGCACTTAGTTTCAGATGCAACGTCGAGATGGTTAAATAAATGTTCAGACTTCATCAGCCATCATTTTGGTATAACTTGAATTTCAGCAGAGATGGGTCAGGGTCTGAACTCCTGTGAGGAGAGTTGTCCACATGCTGTGATGCTTAATGCTCCACTGCGAACTCTAGGAAACCTCTCTCAGCTGGAAAACTCAGTGAAATCGGTGTGATGCTGCCCTTGTATTTTAATCAAGATGAACTTGAAAGGTGAACGTTATAAGTGGGAGAAATTATTTATAATTTGGTAATAAAAGTTTATGTCTAACACTCCAAATTTCATACATCTGCTCTGTGCTGGCCCTGAGATATAAAACAACTGAAGTTGCCTTTACATTTGGCCTTATATGAAAGGTCATAAATTAGAATGATAGCATTCGTCCTCTTTTCTAGCTCACGAAATTTCCACATTAACATCTTCACCTCAAACATAAATGGTTACCCAGCTACAAAGACAAGAGTTGTGTTGGCCTTTATGAATTATAGTTTATGTTGGAAATCTGTGGTACATGAGGCTGCTGTTCATCTTGCAGTGGAGTGTATCCACTTCAGTGAAGCTAATTCTAGCGCAGTGAAACGAATTAAAACTGTATGGCCAGTTCAAATAAACATAGTACAGTATATAAAAATTTAGGAATATTTTAGATATCAGCAAATGATTTCCAATGTACGTGGTTCTTTTAACTCTTAAAAATGCATTTCTACATCTTAGAGGTATTTTCTCTGCTAGAATACCTGCTACGAAGTTTACTTAAAATAAATTCACTTTTCAAAATGTTTCTTTCTAAAGTGATTTTAACTGATAATGTGAAAATTTTGATTTTTTTCAACTACAAAAAACCCACAATCCATTTCTATTATGAACTATAAAAACTAAATTCATTCCAAAATATTAGTGAATTGGACGAGTGCTTTATGTTTAAACGTTCAAAAAAATGTTTACAGCCAAAAAACAGATGTCCTTGATTTTTCCAGGGCAGGTTATCAAATCCATATGCTTTTTTG